GGTAGTGAAAAAAATAAATTAATATAAGGCACGTAATTTACATCAAGAAATGCCACGCTTTGTGGTAAAAATAATTTGTCATAACTTACAGAAGTTAGATTAATGTGGCGCTTTTCAATTAACGCGTGTAGATTTCCCCTAGTAATTATTTTTTTTTTTATAAAATTCTGTGCCTATAAAATCAATTGATATTATTTTAAAATAATAAGTGCATAGATTTCTTCCTACATCTTAAAATGCCTTAGATTAGTCTGATAGATTATCGTGCTGATAAAATCTACGTATGAACTATGAAGGCCGTTCATTAGCATATACGGCGTTCATCTGGCTTTAATAGTTTTATACATGGTGTTTCTCAATATATTGGTGCTACTTTTATTAAGAAACAAAACACCTTGATACCAAAAAGCTTTTTGGATTTGGTAAAAATACAATATTCTTAAGATGACTAGAAATGCAAAGTTTAGTTAATTAATAAGACTACCTATGTGACATAGTTGTATGAAGATTTGTATGGTCTTCGTAAAAAAAAGCAACCTGTATATTTTGAGGAAATGTTATTATAATTTTGCCTAATCATTTTTTTAGCATATCGTTACACATTTAACAAATTAGGTGTGAGCATTAAGCAATTAATTTTCCTTTCGAGCAGACATTGACAAATAATTTAATTGCTATATAATATGTTTAACAATATCTTACATTGAAATATTAACACGTTTATTGCACGCAATGCGTCAAAAATCAGCAAGGTCTTGTTATTTAACACCTAATTATACATAATTTATTAATTTTGTACAGCGACGGCATATATTTTGTCTACATATTTTTTTCTTACAAAATCACACTTATTACCTTTATATTATAAAGTGCAAATAGTATTTACTTAATTATGTACCTTCGTCTTTGCCTACTTTTTATACTTACTTTATGAATTGATTTTTAAATGACAATGAGTTTAAAGTCTTAACTATGGCACATTTTACAGTAACTATTAATTAATTAATTTTGTATTATTATAATACATTATTTTCATTGTTATTTCTTTAACTTCTGGAAATGTATATTCAAGCAATTTCGATAAACTTTCTACTGTGTTTAAAATTGTCGGGATTTTTTCCAATTCCTCTGTATTTACAGGTTAATTAATGTGGCTATCAAATATCAAGTATATTCAAAACTTATTTTAATTTAGATTTTTGTACACAAATTACGTTTCGGTATTTGTCATTCGCAGTCGCCGCCCGTTGTTCGTATCCACAACAAAACATGGCGTCCACCTAAATGTCAACTCTATAATTCGTTCACTTTATGCAATTTCAAGTTAACAATTTTGGAATGGAACAGTTCTGTTTTAGAATCCATACACACTGAACGCTCTAGTTTATCTTCGTGACTACTCGTAGTAGAGGGTTACAGTGTAATTGCGTCTTTTAATTAGTAAACAATTTGTAAAAAGTACTTTAATACTTCGCTAAGTGCGGATTTTTTTTTACAAAAACGAAGATTAAAATATAAGGGAGAGTCCGCTAATTTGGACCAGTTTTTTTCAATCCCATTTTACACATAGTTTTCTTTTGTTTTTGCTAATGTCCATAGTATATATATAATAAAAGATAAATTATTCAACTTACTATTTCATAAGTATTAATTAACATTATTGTTGTATATTTAGCACAAATCAACAAAGTACGAGTTCAGAGCTTCGGTCCAATTTAGCCAACCGGTTCGATAATTTGTACCACAGGGTTACTAAATTGGATTTCAATAAATTTCAAGCCTATAAAAAAACTATGGCAAAATATTATACGATACATTCTTAACAAATTAGGAAACGAAAAGGAACAGTAGTTAATAACATAGACAATTGATATTGTTTTACACGTTATCACGATTTTGAGTACAAGTTTTGTAATTCCAATTATCGTAACGCACACTTGTACCTAATCTACTTTGCCAGTCTTTTGCTTTCATTTATTGTTAGTCAAACATAACTACGCTATTATAACTTCAAAATATGATTTACTAAAAAAAATTTCAAAATCCTTTGGTAAAGTTCCATACAACTTGATGTGGTACAATTTAGCCGACTAGGTGATAGTGCTTTTAAAAAATCGGTAAAAAATATAGCTTATAAATACCGAAAAATGTTTTAAATAATTGTAATCCACACTAATTTACGCTTCTAAATAATATATTAGAAACACCCTGTGATTAAATTTAACAAAATTACAAACTAAACATGCTGAGAGAGTTGAAGAATAGCATCAGTCGCATTTCAATTTCATTTCAATGGACGAAATACGGCAAAACAGGGAACGCTTCATGAAAAACAAAACTGAGTGGATTCCCGGAGCCATAGTGTTACATGTTTCTGTTCATAAAGTTCAGTCTTCCACGTCGAAAGATTCTACACCTGGACGACCACTCAAGGAGTTCGACGAGTCCAGCAAAAAGACGAAAAGAAGAAGACTTTTAGACCTCATTTCCTCAAGAAGTACTTGAGAACTGATATTGGCTGCTGAAGCTGCAGCGCAAATGTCTGCTGGCCACAGCAACTTGGCAAGTCATTAATGTTGTCCCAGTCTACCTACTAAATTAAAAAAAACTGAGATTCTTTGTTCCATATAAATCGCAAAAATGTTTATATCGAAAAATTGATTTTCATTAAATTCTCCATAAAAAACGGGAATTTCATACTTTACCACCTAATACATCATAAGACCAATTATTATTATACTGTAATGTTAGTTTCTTCTTTCCTTTTTAGTCTGTTTCTCTTGATTTTAGGAAATAAATATTTTATTACCAAAAAAAATTTTTTTTTCAAACCTACCTATAATAATTATAATAACAAGCCTAATTAATCTTAAATTGCACAAAAAAGTAAGTAATGCGTGTATTAAACCCATTAAAGTAAAAAAATAATATTGTCCAGCTAGCTTGTTCTACTCGAATCACTGTGCGCCGCTCGACTATAAAATTGTGGTGAGCCCACTCGTAACACAAGCTTATTTAGCTTACCACGAGGGGCTAATAGGACTATTAGTAATTTGGGACAAATTGATAATAATCTTTAAAAAAAATATATTAAAAACAAAAAGCGTTCATAACGTTAGAAGAGTTTCACTCACAATGTCAGTGTAATATCCTAGTGTAATAACCTTACTCATAATAATAATATGATGAAGATCTCGTATTTGAGTAAACTCTTCTTTATGTCTAGGCGGTTACTCAGTGCCTGAGGCATGGGAGCGGCACGGGAAGGGTGACGAAACAGTGCATACTGAAGCACATTTTGAAGTCTCGCTGACGTTTGACGACCCAAAAACACCCTATTATAGATGACCCACGCTGAACTGTCCCACCAAACTCAATGACAAGGGGGCGCTACCATCGTTCAACTATATGGTTTCCAACATGGCAAAAATCGGAACCAGCGATCCGGTATTGACGGTGGCGCCCCACTGTCAATGTCATGCATAGGACAGTTCAGTATTTTGGAACTATACCTCAGGCACTGACTAAGTTAAATGATAGACCTATAGTAGGTATTAACAATTTCAGATACAATGTGCCACAGAAAAAAATCAATTGCGATTAATTTAATATCAAAAATACCTCTTAGATTTATACTTATTTGTGTTAAGATCGAGTCATTGCATTCATTTATTTTCTTCTAGGAAAGTTAAATAATGATCTTCGTGAAGTAAAAGCTCTAATTTAATTCATGGCCACTCACGGTCGTTGACCATAATGTTACTTGCTCTAAAAATAATACAAACTGCGGCTGAATGCACACGAGGGTCAAGCAGGAAATAAAATACTTGTTATACTTTAATACCTTGATTTTTTTTTGTAAGTTTTTTTTTTAATTATTAGTTAAATTCATTATAATGGTCTAGACAGTGCGTATGATACCTATGTGTCAACAGAAGGCTTAAGCATTCCAAATCATTTTAATTTTATGTTTTCTGTAATGGGACTAACAATAATTTATTCCCACCTATCGTTCCCACTGCTGCAAATTTCGTATAGCCATGATCTACTACTAACTATAGTCTATAGGTAACTTAACCGCCATTAAACACAATCAAACGAGGAGAGGAGAAATTAGTGAAATCTAGCTTTATTAATCTAAGGAAATCTACGACAATCGTTCGTTCGTTTCAGCCAAATGACGTCCACTGCTGGACAAAGGCCTCCTCCAAGGTTTTCCACAATGAACGGTCCGGCGCTGCCCGCATCCAGGCTCTTCCCGCGACCTTCCTTGTGTGAAAATGCTTGGTCTTAATTTTATAACATTGAATTCAGTCAGTGTTGGCCTTAGTATTTTATTTGTTTATTTATGCAAATATTTTTTCTTTTGACTATTTTTTCTTCATCCACCTCTAAGGTAATCATCCAGAATCCCCTGAGAAGATCGCCAAATGATTTTATCAAATAGCATTAACCTACATAATATTATCATCTTGTGCTATTAATCGTGTGTATTATTGCATTGCGATGACAAATTAAACTTGCGAAATGTACCTACCTAATTCATCGCAAGGTCAGCTAATTCGAGTCGATGATTTTATTACAGACCATTTTTTAGTGACTTGCACTTAATAAAGCGACCTCGCCTAAGTATTCCATTTCCGTTAAATATAGATCAACTGTGGGTCCAAGTGCTTTATGTTATTAATAAACTTCTCCTTAAAGACAATACAATAAGAGCGAAGGAAGGCCACGTACGAATTAAATAAGAATAAAAAAGATAGTAAGGTACCGGTCTCGCTTGTTTTATTATTGTAATTATATTCTGATTTCTGATGTCGCCTTTAGATTGAAATAGGTACAGCACAATATACTTTATAATAATAAGATTTATAGTTCAATACCTACTTACTACATGGACTAAGAATTTTCTAACCGATATTTTTATTACATTACGGAGAAGATTTAATTTAATTACCTAAGTTTATGCATCATAATTCGCGTATGCAGAAAAAACATTATTTTATAATTATGTAGGGACGGGGCTTCGCAAGGAAAATCAGTTTCTTCCAATAATATGTTTAATCTTCTTTTAAATATTACAGAGCCACACTTACTCTTAACCGTCTTGCCGCCATGACCCCTCTCCTTCCTTCTCTCTCACTCTCCGTACATTCGTCTCGCTCACACTCGTTCGTACATCCAAAGAGTTTAAGACAATGGAGTATTTACGCCATAGATATTACAATCCTACACTCTCGGCAATCCTGTCTTTGTCTGTCCTCAGACAACCTTAGGCTACAAACACTAACTTTCATTAAACATCATTAAACTTAGTAAATACTCAACTCATTAAACTGTTACATCTCCTAACAACAACATCTTAAACTTTATACATAGCTAACTTTGCAAATAAAAACTTATTCAAGCATCCAATAGTTTAAAACTCAAACTCTCAAACATTTAACTTCTTACACAAAGCAAACTTTGAAAATAACTACTTAAATAAACAACTAACGGTAAACTACTATTCTTACAATTTACATGAAATCCTTGACATTTTTTAGATTTTTGACTCCTTACATAGTACACATCTCATTTTACACTTTTACCCATTTTACAGTTATCATCTTATTATAAATCAATCTTTCAACTTAGTCTTAAACACTTTACATCTAAGATAGTGTATATCATCTTATTTATTAATCTTATAGAAATAATTTGAAATCTTTAATTTCAGGTTACTCAATATCAAGTCTTAAGATATTCAAGTTCTAAACACACCAATGTTTATAAAACTGAAATATTGTTCATCTTTATAATTAATCAAATCAGTTGGTGAAACATGAACTACAATAAACTTTACATTTTAGTGAAATAAAATATACAATAATGAATGACCGTAACAATTGTAATAAAAATGGTTTTTAATTTACAAATTCTTTCATTCATCACCTCTTATTTAAAATAGCAAGATACTTTACCTAATTAGGCCACGGCTTCATTTGATCAGCTGAGCTGGACGTCTTATTAGGCCCTTCAGCAGCAGTATCCATCTTCTCTACGTCGTAACGATCTTTCCGCTTAACCTTCGTCACCCGGTACGGTCCTAGATACTTAGGTTTCAGCTTCAAACCCGGTCCATACTGAGTCCTCTTTATGGCCACCAAATCTCCTTCTTTGTATTGAGAACTTGGTTTCCTCTTCTCATTGAAAGTCTTCCTATTTNTGATAGTGCTTTTAAAAAATCGGTAAAAAATATAGCTTATAAATACCGAAAAATGTTTTAAATAATTGTAATCCACACTAATTTACGCTTCTAAATAATATATTAGAAACACCCTGTGATTAAATTTAACAAAATTACAATCTTAACATGTATTGTCAAAAGTTACTTGAAAACAATGAAAAAATACTTTTCAAAATAAAACACACGTGTTTGTTGTCACGGCAAAAACCACACGGCCGATATTAATTTATTTTAGTTGTGTATCGCTGAGTGTTGCAATTACAGACATTCAATAAATACTTTACGAAATATGAGGGTGGTACAATTTACCCGGCGGTACAATATACCGAACTCTCCCCTATTAGAAACAACTGTCATGGGAAAGGAATGGGAAAGGAAAAACGTTAACATTATTAATAGCTCCCTGTGTTAAAATTATTAGGCATGTATTGAATCTCTAGATAGGTAGGTATACTTAATATGAAAATGCTAGTTCAGTTCGTTTATAAATAGACAAAGCATTATAATTATGATTTAGAATAAAAAGAGTGAACCAAATCCAAACCTACAGCATGCGGGAATACAAGACATTTTAGTTCACAATTCTGCTCACAGATGGCGCTGTGCTTACTTGACTCGCGCAAACAGAGAATTTTCCGTGAACTATATTGAATGAAAGGTCTACCTGTTTGTTACGAGTATATTTAATTTTATTAAACACCGTTATGCTTAGTGCATAATAATTTTTGTAGGACTACTGCTATTAATATTAGTTCATTGTGAGTACTAGTCCGTAATAAGATTTAATTATGTGTTTTGAAGGACAATTGTTAACACAATGTTTTCTATGTCCGGAAAACATATAGTAAAAGCTTACCGAGTAGCATTTATATCATTTCTTCATGCTCTTTGAGCACTGCCTTTGAGTGGCTAAATCCACCATAGTTAGCGTAAGGCGTGTGCGCTGTAGGCTTGCCTTGCGTTGATTGAATTAGGGTTTCTTTCAAAAATAACTTGTAGTGAATGATCATTAGAAGTTCTGGTGATGTATGGGCACTCTTAGATTTGGTATTGTGATTCCTGTCGTCAAATTACGACTACCTACCGAATGTGCATAGTCCCTTAACGCGAATTATGCGCCATGCCCGCACTATTTCAAAGCTAAGCCTGTCGCTTGTCAGTATTAACCTGAAAGTGGAGTTGGCGCCGCCCACGCCGGGAGATGTCGCCCTGGCATTATCCGGCGCATAAATCAACTTGCAACACTCGTACGCTTCATCGATAAGGTACGTTAAGTGTGGACGTGACTGTCCTGGCTTGTTTCGTTTGGCTGGTAAATGAAAATAGGCTAGCTGACAAAATTTCAATTATTTGTCCGTCAGACAGATAATTAGAAAATATTAGACTCATATTTTTTATTTTCTTTCATAATTAAATAATAACAGTGCTACATCGAGTTGAAATGGCGCGATACGTCATGCTTGAGTAGAATTTTTACTCAAAAGTGACGTCACGCGACATTTCAACTCAATATAATACTATAAAAAATATGAGTCTAATATTTTCTAATTATTTGTCTGACGGACTAAGTAGAATTTCGATTTCATTACCCAGTCATCATCCCTATTGGCTAGTTGGGTTTTCATTCATTCAATCCACTTATTTTCCAATCAGTGATGATATTATGTAAAAATTCTTTGATCAATATTTATATGAAAGTATGAATAAAATTTGAAGCGGGCGGTCGTAAACGAAAATGGGTAAATAAAAATAAAATAATGATATTCATAAAGATGCAAACTTAACTGTATTATCAGTGCAGGTTTGCAGGATTTCAAGAGCAAATTATAGCATATGTAATGTATAAAATATTAATTATGTATGATGTTCAGATTTTTAAAATACCAATACTATCAATTAAACATTTAATAGTGTTTAATGTGAGATGAATGCAATTAAATATGATGTAGCTTTCAGGAACGGGTAAAGGTGTCCTCTATTTTATAAATTAGGAACTCTAATCAATTTTCGCCTTTCGTTAAAATATCAAATTTAAACAGCACTACTGTTTAGTAAAACCATTACAATACAAATCGATTGTTTCACTCCTTGGTAACGGATATAGTTATCTCTCGATTTAAAATGGACGGGCTTAATTAAAATATTCGGAATGTCTGTTACAAAAGATTTGTGAGGCGGCCGAGTGAAAGGGTCATTTGCGCTGTGTAAACTGACCGGGGCTGTAATTATCATATTTTATGCTACCTGTTAAAAAGCAGTAGCGTTTTAGGGTTATAAGAGTCGCGGCGAATTTGTTTTGCAACTTTGTTCAAGTTCGGTATTTATCAAATGTATGTAGGGACGGGGCTTCGCAAGGAAAATCAGTTTCTTCCAACAATATGTTTATTCTTCTTTTATAAAATACAGAGCCACACTTACTCATAACCGTCTTGCCGCCATGACCCTTTCCTTCCTTCTCACTCACTCTCCATACGTTCGTCTCGCTCACACTCGTTCGTTCATCCAAAGAGTTTAAAACAATAGAGTATTTACTCCATAGATGTTACAATCCTACACTCTCGGCAATCCTGTCTTTGTCTGTCCTCAGACAACCTTAGGCTACAAACACTAACTTTCATTAAACATCATTAAACTTAGTAAATACTCAACTCATTAAACTGTTACATCTCCTAACAACAACATCTTAAACTTTATACATAGCTAGCTTTGCAAATAAAAACTTATTCGAGCATCCAATAGTTTAAAACTCAAACTCTCAAACATTTAACTTTTAACTTCCTACACAAAACATACTTTGTAAATAACTACTTAAACAAACATCTAACAACTACTATTCTTACAATTTACATGAAATCCTTAACATTTTAGATTTTTGACTCCTTACATAGTACACATCTCATTTTACACTTTTACACATTTTACAGTTATCATCTTATTATAAATCAATCTTTCAACTTAGTCTTAAACACTTTACATCAAAGATAGTGTATATCATCTTATTTATTAATCTTATAGAAATAATTTGAAATCTTTAATTTCAGGTTACTCAATATCAAGTCTTAAGATATTCAAGTTCTAAACACACCAATGTTTATAAAACTGAAATATTGTTCATCTTTATAATTAATCAAATCAGTTGGTGAAACATGAACTATGATAAACTTTACATTTTAGTGAAATAAAATATACAATAATGAATGACCGTAACAATTGTAATAAAAATGGTTTTTAATTTACAAATCCTTTCATTCATCACCTCTTATTTAATTAGCAAGATACTTTACCTAATTTGGCCACGGCTTCATTTGATCAGCTGAGCTGGATGTCTTATTAGGCCCTTCAGCAGCAGTATCCACCTTCTCTACATCGTAACGATCTTTCCGCTTAACCTTCGTCACCCGGTATGGCCCTAGATACTTAGGTTTCAGCTTCAAACCCGGTCCATACTGAGTCCTCTTTATGGCCACCAAATCTCCTTCTTTGTATTGAGAACTTGGTTTCCTCTTCTCATTGAAAGTCTTCCTATTTTCCTCCTGTACCTGAAGTATTTGCTGCTTAGCTTTCATTCTAATGTCTTCTCTCTGTTCATCATATTGATCAATCTCTTCTTGTCTTAGTAAATCCAATATTTCCAGGTCTTCTTTACATCTCATGTTTATACCAACCATCAGGTGAAATGGAGTCGTGTCTATGCTACGCTGGTAGGTACTATTTATAGCCCTCTGCACTCGGCTGATGTGCTTGTACCATAATAGTCCTATGTAGTCTTTCTACCTGTCCATTTCCTCTTGGTACACCCGTCGTGATGGTAACATATTCTCTTCTTTGCAATTATCTTGAAATTCACCCCCGGTGAATGCCGTTCCTCTGTCACTTATTATTCTTACAGGATTTCCAAAATGCTGTTGGTGCATCTTCAGCTTCTCAATTGTCTCTTTACTCGTTGTACTCTTAGTTGGAAATATCCATGTGAACTTGGTGAATCCATCTACTATTGTCAAAATGTGGTTATACTGTTTNAGCGTGGTAGGGGTGGGGTTGCCCGCTCTTTTGTTTTTTACTACTACTACGCTGAATATTGTGTGCGGATTGGGTTGTCGTACAGGGGTACTACATGGTAAAATAAATCTCGGAGGCGAAAGCAGGATAATCATAATCATAATCATAATCATAATCATAATCATAATCATAATCATAATCATAATCATAATCATAATCATAATCATAATCATAATCATAATCATAATCATAATCATAATCATAATCATAATCATAATCATAATCATAATCATAATCATAATCATAATATCTTTATTGACTAATATCATAATATCTATTTTCAAAAGAAGCCCAAACAAACATCGCAAAATGTGTAACCTTTAAAAAGTTAGTGAAACATAACATGTACCAACGTTTCAGAGTTTATTCAACGAGATTTACGTAAGAGAGGTCGTCTAACGGGAAGTACCCATAAACCATCGATAGAACAGTAACAATGACATCACTAGCGATAACTTTAATCTCTCAGTTTACGATATCATAATGCGCCGTCGACTATGTATGAGCGACTGGCCTGTAAAAGTATATGTCCCATAATGTAAAGCAAATTGATGAGTAACGCGGTTGTGTGGTCACAGTGGGTAATGGGAGAGAGGGCTTGTTAGATGTTAATTTATAATATACCAGCTGTGCCAGTAATTTGTACCATCAATATAGTCTATGGCACTCACAAGTAATGTGGCTTTGTATTGGTAAAATAATTTTCAAAATCGATTAAATAGATTCAGAGATTACCCCCACAACCTCATAAACTCACAAACTTTACCTCTTTGTATACCTAAATACTTGTGATAAAAGTTCTCTGTATCAGTTTGAGAGAAGTCAAATTCAGTTGCTTCCGTACACTTTACATAAAGTAGGTATAGCATTCATTAGATAAATACACATAATTTATTTGTAACTGTCTCAATGTTTCTTTGCCATCTCCAAGTAATTGAACAAAAGGTTTAAAACAAACTGCTCGAAAATTACTCAGATATAACATGGTGAAAAACGACTACAAAGACTTTTAGACCAACCGAAGTTCCTTAAATATGCCTTTGTACATAAACCTATGTAGGTATAACGTCGAAATTATTGTTTGGTAAAGATACGTGAGGATTTTTTTCACATGATGGGAAATGTTATGCCATTAAGTTAGGTTGCAGAAAACTTTGACAGATGCCTGAAGACGAAACAAAACATTTAACTTATAAAGAAACTGAAAGTAAGTTTGACTATCAATCAATCCCTCTTCTCTTTATACTTTTTGTAACATTATGGTGATGAAAATAAATATCTGAATCTGAAACTACTTTTGTATGCTCTTAAATGACTAATCATGCTTTTGTATACAATTACTCTACCGTATCTATCTACATAACGATATTTCCCAACACATGATGTTTATCTATAACGTATATCGATAATAACTAATGTGCAAACAATACAACATAGTGAACTTAATTGCTCAGTAAAACAGAAAGCTTTTCCAATCTTGTGTATTAATTACGATGAGAGAAAGAAGTTGGGCTTGTTCTCACGGAGACATTCCGTTTTTTGCAGGGCCCCAAAGTCAAAGTCAAAAAATATTAATTAAATAGTACCTACCTACTTACAAATTGTCAAATATTTTGCTCTTAAGGAGCCTCTACATGTCTCATAATCTTTTTACCCTACCAGCGCTTCGAGACCAACATTTGGCAAGTGCTGAGAAGAAGCGCCGCAACAAACTCAGTCATCACTGTCTGCCGATTGATATTTTAGTAGTACCTAATACATGTTTTAATATTAATTTACGTTCACATGAACATCCCGTTTGCAGTATCCCGCAAAAAACTGGTTGAATTTGTAATTCGTATTTCAAACACACATGTGTGTTCCCACGACATTCCAATTTTTTGGGATCCTACATTACTGAGGCCCGATTCAACCAAACATTTATCCGAGAATAACTCCTGGTACAACTTATTGACAGTTTCAGTATGGGAAATAATGTCAAAACTGACGATTTATTCCGAGATTAATATTTACTCTTTTTTGGTCGAATCCACCCTGAATCCCGCAAAACTGGGTTGCCGTGGGAACTAGCCCTAACAAGTAATCGTGTAACCCAAGTGCCAGGCTTTATGAGCCACTGTAAAGGCTGACATGGCTCATCAAAGAAATACTGCCAGAGATAGTAACGGGGAATGATGGTACCTACTATGCTACGGAATGATCATTCGTAGCTGAAGTATAAACCGGCTGTCAGTAATTAAGCGAATGGGAAACCCGTCTTGATTAATTTGTTAGTATAGATTAATTTGTTAATTTGTTAGTTAGTTTAGACGTTGTAATAAACTGGTTTAAGCTCAGTCTATGCAGTTGGGTGCAAGGATGTTTATTCATTCTTCACGCAAAACTACTGAATTAATTTTAATAAAACTTAATTACTACCTTGGAAACCTTGGGGGAGGCCTTTGTCCAGCAGTGGACGTCATTTGGCTGAAAAGAAGAATAACTACACTAAACTTTCCGGCATAATAAATAAGTAGGTACCTAACTAATAATTACTTTAGAGTCATGAAATTACATTTACAAAGTTCAATTTTCAGGGAAATACTTTTTAACCCCGTTTCAGTCCCATCAACCCCTTGTTGTAAGGTAAATATGCTTGTGATTACCACAATAAACAGTGGCGGCAAAGTACGAACCCGCGTCCCTCAGATCTCGATTCAGCCAGTCCAACACCTACATATTTGCCTATGGTTTACTCTATTCATTTAGGTACTAGCTTTCCGCCCGCGTGGAATTTTGTATGTCACAGAAAAACAATATCGCGCGCGTCCCTGTTTCAAAAATCGTGACAAAAACTATCCTATGTCCTTTCCCGGGACTCAAACTATCTCTGTACAAAATTTCATCAAAATCGGTTCAGTGGTTTAGGCGTGAAAGCGGGACAGACAGTTACTTTCGCATTTATAATATAGATTTCGGGCTTTTGTGGCTCTCTTCTTTATTATGAAGAAAATATATTTTGACAAAAACATAAACATAACCTGTGTCTATCTACTTATCATCAGAACCGACCTCGTTCCAAGTTCCAAAGAGCGAGAACTCTCACAACAGAGATTATTTTTGCCGCGCTAGTGAGCGCGTATGGTCATTCCCGGGTTGATTGATGTGTTGTTACGCTTGTACTAGTGCTGTTCTATAGTCGATAGTATCCTACTATAGATAAATTACTACTGTAGTTACCTACTTGTACAGGAGTTCCATTGGTGGGAAAAAAAGTGGGATTGGGCTCTTATAGATGGATTTATTGACTGATGCTTTCGTTAATGTCTTATGTGGTTTTATCACTTTATTTTAACAATTTCATAAGGAAAAAATAATGGTATTAAAGAGTACCTACTATATGTTTGCGTGATAATAAATTAATAGTATTTAATTTTGAGTAATAATGTTGTTGTTTCCAAGACAAGCCAATGTATGGTTTTCAACAAATATGGTCTGGTAGTTCATATCAGGTAAATACTTTAAAGTATTGTAGGGACGGGGCTTCGCAAGGAAAATCAGTTTCTTCGTGTCTGTTAATGGTCCTAAATGATCTATATGAAGTGTGTGTAAGGGAATACCTTCTTTATCTATTGGGTTCAAATATCCTTCTTGTTTCCCAGCCTTCTTAGTTGCCATAAGACAAGGTATGCAGGTAACCACAAATTCTTGCAACTTCTTTTCTAAGTCTTGTATGTAATAGTCTTGTTTAATTATCTCCTTCATCTTTTTCATAGAAAAATGTCCTTTATCATGAACTTGTTTTATGATCTCNTCCTGAAATTCACCCCCGGTGAATGCTGTTCCTCTGTCACTTATTATTCTTACAGGATTTCCAAAATGCTGTTGGTGCATCTTCAGCTTCTCAATTGTCTCTTTACTCGTTGTACTCTTAGTTGGAAATATCCATGTAAACTTCGTGAATCCATCTACTATTGTCAAAATGTGATTGTACTGTTTCTTCGTGTCTGTCAATGGTCCTAAATGATCTATATGAAGTGTGTGTAAGGGAATACCTTCTTTATCTATTGGGTTCAAATATCCTTCTTGTTTCCCAGCCTTCTTAGTTGCCATCAGACAAGGTATGCAGGTAACCACAAACTCTTGCAACTTCTTTTCTAAGTCTTGTATGTAATAGTCTTGTTTAATTATCTCCTTCATCTTTTTCATAGAAAAATGTCCTTTATCATGAACTTGTTTTATGATCTCTTTCTCTAGTGACTTCGGTATAACTAGCTGCTTCTGCTCTCCTTTATATAGAAGTCCGTTGTCTAACCAGTAGTCTGCATAAGAATGATGCTTTAGTACTTCACATACTGCTCTCAAACCATCATCGTTTTGTTGAGCCAGTCTTATTTGGTTTTGTAAGCTATGTCCAGTGATAGTCATGCATGGATGTCGGCTTAATGCATCTGCATGCTGCAACTTCGAACCAGACCTATGTTCAACCTCATAGTCAAACTGATCTAGGTATAATACCCAGCGAGCAACTTTAGGTGACAAATCCTTTTTTTTCAGCGTCAGCTCGAAGGCTTGACAATCAGTTACTATCTTGAAATGGATACCATACAAATAAACTCTGAACTTCTTCACTCCCTCTATAATAGCTAATGCTTCTAGCTCATAGCTTGTATATCTTGATTCGGCTTCTGAGGTTCAAATCCCGGACGAGCCCCCAAAATTTGTAGGGACGGGGCTTCGCAAGGAAAATCAGTTTCTTCCAATAATATGTTTAATCTTCTTTAAATATTACAGAGCCACACTTTACTCTTAACCGTCTTGCCGCCATGACCCCTTTCCTTCCTTCTCACTCACTCTCCGTACATTCGTCTCGCTCACACTCGTTCGTTCATCCAAAGAGTTTAAAACAATAGAGTATTTACTCCATAGATGTTACAATCCTACAGTTATTTAATTTGAAATCTACCTAATCAATTTAATTTCAGAAACCACTTACATTAGTGTTATAAATCTAGATTTATTATAATAATATGTAGATTCAGTAAAATAATAATATTTTACGTAAAAATTAATGAATTTAAAAATGGCATCACCGTACGTGATCTACATAGGTAGTTCTTATTTCTAATCTCGAGGACAAAGCACGAGCATAATATCTAATAAATGTAATAATTTTAAATATAATTCCATATTTTATTAAATCAAATAAACTAACACACTCTAGTCAACTGTAAGTGGTGTAGTATTCGTTATAGGTTGTAACACCGTAAAGCATGATCTTGTTTGTTTCTACGTCCACGATTCCGTCAACGATGTATTTAATCGCAACGTAGTCCGGCATCTTGCCACGCTTGCCTAACTCCTTCATGATCAGCATATAGTCGAGGCATGTTTCATCCACCCGCTTCTTTCTAGCACTCATTTGTTCGTGAATGGCTTTGATGTCCACGGTGTCTGGGAATTCTTTCGATATCGCGGCCTTCAAGTCGTCCCAGCTCTTAAACGGACGTTCGGATCTGAGCCACAGCTGCGCAGTGTCCGTCAGTGACCTTCGTGCCACCAGCAGCTGCTGCAACGGAGACCAACCGAATATTTCCGCGTTGCTCTCGACGTCTTCAATCCAGCGTGACACGGGATAGGTATTATCTCTCCCGCTGTATCTAGGCACCAACTCCGCCGTCATTTGCAACATGTGCGTCGGGTTATGCGTGATATTGTCGTCATCACAATCTTCATAGTCGTCTTGTCGGCTTTTACGTCTTTCTTTGCCGTAGTTCGGCATGTTTCCGTCGTATGATCCCGTCTGAATCTTGAAACACGCCGGCCGGTACAATGGCGTCGTCGTACGCGTGTGTGCTCGTACGTCTTTTGAGATTTTCTCGCGAAGTACACCGTCCACCGCGAATATAATTATCCCGGACGAGCCCCCAAAATTTGTAGGGACGGGGCTTCGCAAGGAAAATCAGTTTCTTCCAATAATATGTTTAATCTTCTTTAAGTATTACAGAGCCACCCTTTACTCGTAATCCGTCTTGCCGCCATGACCCCTTTCCTTCCTTCTCACTCACTCTCCATACGTTCGTCTCGCTCACACTCGTTCGTACATCCAAAGAGTTTAAAACAATAGAGTATTTACGCCATAGATGTTACAATCCTACATATAATTTCCTGAAGATAATGATGTTGGTGAATGACTATCGACAACCCAATCCGTGTCCGCTTATGTCATGTTTTGACATATTACACTGTACAACAAAATGTAGCGGGAATGCGCTGGATACATGCCGCTGTCAACTGGCCAATCTGAAAATCATAGGGAGATCTATGTTCAGTAGTGTAGTATGTCCTGTGGCTGAAATGATAATGATGATGTAAATGTTACACGATTTAAATGACAGTGTGTATCCGATTCAAACTCAGCACTGTATTTAACTAATATTATAGTTTTGCACATCAAAGGCCCCTCACAAATTTGAATTCACCTATTCGCCGGTGATATTGCGGCAATTGCTATAATTCTATATTTAGTGCTTCAGTAAAGACCGTTACTGGAGTTTAACAGTCAAATGTTATAGGCAATTACTAAAATACTTGCTAATGTTTAAATTCCGCTTTGCAGTTCACTGCTCATTTGATTGGCCACTATTATAATTATGTACACTAATTTCATATACATTTATGATTAGATCATTAAAATTTGGTCCTGAAGTTTAGAGATGAAAAAAATATTATGTAAATAATAATATAAGATGACCAAAAAAAGTTTTAAGTTACATATTATCTTTCATGTCACTTAGCATGTTACAATATAGTTCACATTACATAATCCCCATGCTAAGTTTTACTTTTGTAAACTAGTCCAGTCATTATAGTAAGTTCACCTCGGAATTCGAGATACCCAGCTGTAAGTCTGTAAATACGTGTATATTGACACCCTAAAAGTTGTCTCAAAACCTACATATGGTAAGGTGTAAGCAACTATTAAATTTCAAGGTCAACGGTCACAAAAATCGGTTTTTTGCGCTTTTTTTAGAAATATCTCATTTCCTGTGGGTTTTTTGCTATTTGTATTTATTATCAATATTGTAGAATACTAAATTCTCTACAAATTTTGTTTAAAAACTTTTTTTATACGGTGAACCGTTTTCGAGATAGAGGGNTTTCCTTCCTTCTCACTCACTCTCCATACGTTCGTCTCGCTCACACTCGTTCGTTCATCCAAAGAGTTTAAAACAATAGAGTATTTACTCCATAGATGTTACAATCCTACATGTATTTTCACTGATAATGCGACACATAATTTTAATTATCGTTAAATGGTTGTAAATGTAGACAATTTATTATTAAAAAAAAGTCTTTTGTTGACATAATGAGTCGTATTGCACAAATTACTATCAGTCCCTTATTACTTATTGAACGACTAAAAATGTTTGATGTTTTAAAAATACAAATATTTTTAATTTTATTATTTTATTTACATACGCTCAATGAGATGACAGTTATTCGAATAGTAAGATGATATCTATTCATTATTTTAAAATATTAACTGTATCCTTCTTATTTACCTATCCTATATGTATACCTACCTATACTTTATCATGTATCCTATCAAGGTATCCTTCCTTTTCAACAAAAGGACGTTCCCTGCTAGATAAAGGCTTCCATAGAGTATTTCCATAGCGCCCGGTTCTACTCCAGAAGAAGATCATGCCAACAATTATATGCTACGGAACTCTCACGCGCATTTTCAATTAAGTACTTGACTACTACCCACTGTTTTACGGAGTTGAAGTATCAAGGACGTTTTCGCACATTATCTACCTTACAAAACCCTTGCGTACCATTCTACACCGGGTTAAAGTGCCGAGAGAAACCCGCTTGAATGGAAAATAATTTGAATGAAAGGTCATCAGGTTATCCTTTCTAAAATTATTTCCTAGAAAGACGCAAATCCGGCAAAGTATCCTGTTTTGGACTTTCCTAAAGACAGCGTAAAGTTTGTGAAGGATAAATGAATTTACTTATTTTTAGTTTCAGAAACATTACGCCTTGTGTGAAAGTTCAAATACCTACATTTACGCCCGTATTCTCAAGTTTTTTATTTGATTTATTTACTTCAAATGCAAGTTTTGTTAGTAATCTATATAAATAAAAATGAATTGCTGTTCGTTAGTCTGGTTAAAACTCGAGAACGGCTTTTGGTTTTAAAATGTTTGTCGTAGTCCAGGGTAGGTCTAAACGGTGAGCAAATAAGGAAAAATTGCGATGGCTTATTTATTGCCTTTAAGGCGGAACAGAGTTCGCCGGGTCAGCTAGTTTAAAATAGAGTTGATTCAACTCGTATAGTAGCATCGCATGCGCCCTCTGACTTACATAATTCATACCTAACTTAGGAATTTATGAAAAAATGTGAATCACATTAATAAATTAATTACCTTGTTAAAAGATATTCACATAATTATTATGTAAATATTTCACATAAATATTGAGACGGTTTCTTTACTTAATACCCCTTATCACTAAGTATTTGAGTTTTTTATTGACACTTCCAATTAGTACGTTCATTAGCCTGAATTGAACTAAGATATGAGTTCTCATGCGAGTCTTAAAATTAATATTTATAATTATAATGTTTTGAAAGACCTTCATATTTTTATAACCACATTATCTGATCAAAAATCAATCGCGGCTGCATCCACTCAGATTTATCTGGTTTTATTTTCGAAATTAGCGTAAATCTTTAATAATGATTTGAATACCAAGAATACCACTTCAAATCTATTCTGACAAAATAACAAAAATTAAAAAAAATCCGTAATAAACTAGATTAGGCTAGGGATTTGTGACCCAAAGTGTGAGGGACTGGTGCCTGAAATAGGTTTAAAAAGAGAATCCTGTGCTACGACGGGTCACCAGGAAAATCTATCATGGACAATTATAATGCTGTTTCAATAATAGAAGGATTTTGTTTTCCAAATGAATACACAAACCTACTTAATGAGTATTAATAAATAAGCCGGCATCCCATAACCTGACACATTGTTTATCAATCTGACATTAATATGTTTCGATTGACAAAGCCATGTATTAACAACTGCTAATTATGATTAGTATACAAAGAAAAAATTCGGATGCTCGTGGTTCAAACGGCATTGAGACGACAACGGTTGGGATTACAGAAGAACCAATACTTTGATCCCCCTCGCCCTCTTTATTGTGAACTAGAATAGGTAAAAAACGGGTCATAGTTCTAAATTTCGGGGGTCAAGATATATTGGTGAGGCTATATCTTAGTAGTCACGCGCGATGTCACGACAACGACCGTCGACATTCCTTATGTCAAACTACCAATGTACAGTCAGCGTCAAATAGTTCGTGCCACTCAGAGTGGCCAAAAGTAGACTACACAACCTTATTTCAATTGTAAAAAAGACGTGTCGCGAAATTCTTGGCTACATTGGGTGCCACAGAGTATTTGATGCTGACTGTATATGACAGAAAAAATACCAAACGCAAGGACGAAGTTCCAAGAAAATAATGCAGGAAGAAAGAGTTTGGCAATTATAAAAGTTTTGCGGTCAGTCCATACTGCGCTTGCGCAATAATTTAGTGGTTAGCGGGAAATTACGTTGATTAATTAATATAAAAAGTTTATATGAATTAAAGTTTTTTGTATTTTAAATAACCATATATAATTCCTGCATAAGTCCAATAAAAAATAAGCGTCATAATGTTGTCAATCAGTTTTAAATGCCAATAAAACTTACATAGTAACACATACATAATCCAGAACTTGTTACAAGTTCGTCACATTAAAGCCTTAAGGCTTGGTATTTCTGCTAAAGTAGGTATTTCGCGCTGTCAAAATCTGCGCGCGCAATACTTNGCATATAGTCGAGGCATGTTTCATCCGACCGCTTCTTTCTAGCACTCATTTGTTCGTG